TTCGCAGAGAGGGCTCTCATCCTTGCCACGTGCTCCGGCATTTTATGGGTTTGCTCCCACTCTCAGTATACTTGTGCTTCTTTAGGCACAGGTAGAGTCTCCAGATGCTGTATCTAACTGATCGTCTTCTTGTTTGTTTTGTTTAGAGATTAAACCGGCGAGTTGACATGCCCATAACCCTAGGTTCTATCTCTGCACCTTATATTTGCGATCATTTTCAGAACTCCTGATCACTCAAGGACCTTAAGCTCTTTCTCTTCACCTTAAGTTTAGGGCTTTCTTAAGAATCCCTTTCCCTTAGTAGTAGTAGCAGTAGTGCTCGCTCAATAACAGTCCTGCCCTACGTCATCATCATCACTGCTTAACGTTGTTGTTGTTGTCTCAATGTCATACTACCATTCAGAGGCAGCACACGAGAGTAGTAGCTATTATATCAATAGTGCTGATTCCTTCTATATCAATGATTCTCGGGCATTACAGAAAGAGGTACTTTCACTGACTTATGTTGTTATTATGACTATGAGGATAGATACGTGATGTGAATTATTATATAACGAGCATAAGGAGACGATTAGATGATTATGATGATGGTGATATTAGTGATGTTAGGAGTATGATTGATAAAGCTGTTGTCCTAACATCATCGGCCCAAAGGGATATTACTCAGTAATATATGTATACTACTGCTGCTACTGCTGATAATAATGAGGGTTGCAGGTTTAAGGAATATGTTTCTAATGCACCTACACCACAGGATGCTATGAATCGACAACAAATGTTGAATAAGTTTACTACTAGTATATCGAATATGGCTGAAGAGTTAGAAGATATAGTTAAGAAGTATGCTAGCATGAAAAAAGAAATAAGTGCTGTTAGTCGCCAGCAATATAGTAAAAGACAACAAGATAAGCAACATACTTGTGGTAGTAGTGGGACATGGTATATTAGGAGTATACTCAAGATGTTGTTCAGGATCCAGTACATCATCATCATCAACAGCAACATCTAGGAGTTCATATCATCCCACGCTTTCGCAGAAGAATACTGTAATATGATGTATATGATAATGTGATAATGATGATAATATTAGGGTGAAGATACGAGAATAGCAACGAAGAAGAGCGAGATGCATAACATCAGTGGAGACCATCACCATAAGGTTATAGATCACTACTATGATAGAAGTATTAATATTATTATCACTTATTCATCCTAGTTACGCATTACTCCTTCTACTTCTACTACTGCAGCATTGTTACCAAACCTGATGACTACACAACGACAAGAAGTAGAGATGAATATAGATGGTGATATAGAAGACGGATTATCTAGAGATAAACTT